GTCTCTGGTTCCTTTCTCTTCTTTATCTCCTCACTTTTCTCGGTGATGTCATCTACTTCTATGCCTTTAAATATCATCTATTGGCCAATCACTCCCAAATCCCTACCTCCAGCCTTCACCTTTTCCTGCAAATCAGAATAGTTTATGTAATTACACACTTAATACCTAGTCCCATGTTTGTCTAACAGTCAAATCTAACATGGCCTGAACAAAACTCTTCATTTCTCCGCTTCCCAACAAGCCACCTTTTCTCTTAGTCTTGCAGATGGTACCACCACCATCTGCCAGTTTCTCAAACCAAAGATTTGGAATTATCCTTGGTTCTTCTCTGCCTCTGACCTGCACATCCAATTCATTGGCAAGTCCTGTTGACTGTCTACAAAACACACCCCAGTCTCCCCATCTCCACCAGCACCTCTCCAAACCAGGCCTCCACCATCTGGGCAGGAGTGTGAGCCTCCTAATAGTGTCCCTGCCCTCATCAGAGTGACCTTCTAAAAACAGATCAGATGTCGTTACTCTGTTTAAAATCTTGCACGTGGCTCCCTACCACTTGGAATGAAAACCAAGTCCCCATGATCTGGCCCTCACTGTCTCGCCTCCTCTCCTTGTCCGCTTTCTCCTTCACCCATGATCTAACAACCCAAGGCTCTTCTCTGGGCATCCCAGCATCATCCTACTTCAGGTCTTTGCATTAGAGATTCCCTCTGCCTGGAATGTTCTTCCTGTAGCTCACGTCTCCTATTATTTAGATTTCAGCTTAATGGTACCTCCTCAGAGAGGCATCCTGTCCTGGACATGCCAGGGGAAAGCAAACACCCAGTCACTCTCTGATTCATTAGCCTGTTTTAATTACCTGGGTAACAACTTTTTTGTTTTAAATATATTTTTTATTGATTTCAGAGAGGAAGGAAGAGGTAGATAGAGAGAGAAACATCAATGATGAGAGATAATCATTGATCGGCTGCTTTCTGCACACTCCCTTCTGGGGATGGAGCTCACAACCTGGGCATGTGCCCTTGACTGGGATTGAACCATGACCTCCTGGTTCATAGGTTGGCGCTCAGCCACTGAGCCATACTGGCCAGGCTGGATAACAAGTTTTTATCGGTTATGCAGTTTGTTTTTTACTAGTGTTCTTTGTAGACTATAAGCTCCATGAAATCGGGGATCTTTGTGTACTTACTCCCTGCCGTTCTCATTCTGCAGTGGTGCCTGTCTCGCATTCGTCAAGGGCTAGTTTGCAGCTGTTGCAGGAATGAGTGAATTCAGTGGCAGAGCCAGGCCTGGGACATAGGATTTTCTTCTTTCATTTCTCTCTAATTTATACCAGGTTGTCTTTTGCCAGTGAAGCACTTCCTGGCTCCAGGTTATTGATAATCTGCTGTTTACTTAAAGGTTATGATAACATTTCTTAAAACACTTCCAAAGTTATATTACCTTTAATTCATTTGCATTTAACATCTTCTTTTAAACGTCACTTTTAGTTTAAGTATGATAGAAAACACCTTTACATGGCATTTTATGACCTGCATCTTTTTGGATTTTAATTAAAAAAATTTTTTTTTGCAAATTATGAGGTTTTTACTTCTGACTGTCAGAGATGGGCACAGCCCTGGGCTCGGTGACGACAGCCCAGACCTGTTTCTGCCCTTTACACAGACTTGCTCTGCTCCTTCCTGCTGTCACTTTCTCTTCCAAAAAATGTTATCGTTCATCATCAAGAGCTGAGACCAAAGTCACTTTACCCAATGGAATATTTTTTTAAATCAGGACTACCCAAAAGTACAACCTGGCCTATTTATTTGATAAATAAATCAAATAGCCGTGGTCCTGAGGGAGGCACCGTGGTGCTGGGGTGAGGTGCGGGCACTGGGACCCGCCCCGTCCTGGAGCGCATAGGGCAGCCACCTCTGTGGACAGTTGGCGACGTTGGAACCAACAGATGCAGTGGCACGGTTTTATATCGAACGTGTTACTGTCCCGTGTTTACTCCTCCTGTGAATATGCTTTCTGGGCTTTATTTTGTCTTAAGACCAGGTGTCCTTTTATCCCTGGCTTTCCTGTTCCACATAAAAGGGACCGAGGAGTTCGCCAGTGCTTGCGGCCCCCGACAATGCTGGGCTCTCCAGGTGCGGAACCTGCCTGCTCACTGGTTGCAGCGGATGCTGCCTCTGCCCTAAGGAGACCTGGGAAACATGCATTCGTGTATCTCATTATAGCTACATCCAGAGTCTCACTTAATTAAATTAATTAAAGGGCAGGAGTGGGCCTCGGGGCTGGAGGGTGTGAATTTTACAGTATTGGAGCTGAAAGAGGCCTTAAAGACATCCAGATAATGTCTTATTTAATAGAACCTCTATTCTTGTTTAATGTTAAGACTCCTTTTGCTGTTTGGAGGGATGTTCCTAACCGACACCATTATCCTAGATCAGGAAGTGGGTTTTATTTGCGCTTAAAAAGCAAGGTTTGGGGCTTTTAATATTGTGGTTTGGGTTGTCAGTATGATACATTTTTGGTATTTTCATCATGTGCCTAATATGGGAGAGTTCTGATGAGGGGCAGAAAAAGCTGAGCTCATTTTACTTATCTTCCATTAATTTTACTTTGAAAAACCATCATAAAACGTGGTGTTCTGCTCTTTCACGGGGGGTGGGGGTGGGGACACAGTTTATAAGAGTTTGCTCGCATTTTCATGCCAGAAATCTTGAGCGAGGGCAATTAAGAATAGTTTTTCATAACTTTCATGGGCACAAGGATGCAGTTCAGTGGCCTAACACAGCTTCAGTTAATGGAGGGGTCTGTTTATCAGCCCAGATGTCTGCATCTCCAGGAAGACTGATTGCATTCATTGTATGTTGCACATGACTAGACAATTTCCCGCAGAGGAGAAAGCCTTGGCCCTTCACACCGGCCTCTCCCTTCAGTGTGAGGCAAACTCTGTTCTCTTCTTCTTACTGGCTCACACCGAAAATAAACAAGCCAGCAGCCCCAGGGCCTCTTCATCTCGAATGACCCATTTCGCTCTAAGTTCATGTGTGTGCTTTGTCAATTTATGTTTCTAATTAGAATGTGCTTTCAAGTTTACATTTCCACATTGAAATGTCATTCTCAGAGTTTTTAGTGACCACGGACAATTCTCTCTGACGAATGGGTCATAGTTTATCATGTCCCCGTTGTTGGACATTTGAGAGGGTTATCAAGTTTTCACTGTTATGAATAGTGTTCCTGTGAGGAATCATTGTATAATTTTTGTCAGAAAGCAAGGCCTACTTTTTTACTGAATGTATTGGGGTAACAACGGTTAATAAAATTATATAGGTTTTGGGTGTACAGTTCTATAATACGTCATCTGTATGTTGTATTGTGTATTCACCAACCCAGGTCAAGGCTCCTTCAGTCACCATTTCTGCCTGCTCCCCCACCCCCCGCCCCATACCCTCTTCTACCTCCTCCTAGCTCCCTTGCACCTCCCCCCAACCCCCTTGCTTTTGTCTGTGTCTATGAGTGTTTATGCGTTTTTTTCCTCAATCCTTTCACCTTTTTCACCCAGCCCCACAACCCCCCTCCCCTCTGACAGCTGTCAGCCTGTTCTCTATCTATGAGTCTGTTTCTGTTTTGTTAGTTTATGTTGTTTATCAGATTCCACATATGAGTGAAATCATAGGGTACTTGTCTTTCTCTGCCTGGCTTATTTCACTTAGCAGAATGCGCTCCAGGTCCATCTATGTTGTCACAGAGGGTAAGGTCTCCTTCTGTGTTACAGCCAAGTAGTGTTCCATTGTGTAAATGTGCCCCAGCTTTTGTATCCACTGACGGGCACTCGGGCTGCTGGCGCCCATCACGTGGGACTGCCCTTTTGCTAAGTTGACTTTGTCGGATGCTGAGACCCTCCACGCGGGAGACCCCGCCTTAGACTCCTGTATCCCCTGCATCTTCCGCAGCTCCTCGCACACAGCACGGTTGTCTCTCTGTTTAAATATTCAGGGAGTGGCTGCACTTTAGTTTAAAATCAAATTTGTGTTAAAGATATTTGAGACGATGAGCTTCTATTTTAGTAGGTAGCACATGTTATAAGCCACTCTCTGCACTCGTGATTAAGATAGGTTTGGGGGGGATGAAAAAGCCGTTTTTGTTATTTTCTTAATTTAGCAATTGGGCACATTTCTTAAATCCTAAGAATACTGTCACCATGCCTCGAGTGTCTGGTTGTACTGAGCGAGGGCACTGTGCTGGCCATG